TCGCGCGAAACGTCGTGGACAACGCTTCCGCCTAAAAGCGGTGCGAAGCAGTGGGGGTGCGGTGAAGGGCCCCGCACAGTGGGCCAGAGGACTGATGGAGGCGATCGAATTCCCGGACACGTTTCGAGCTCCAGAGTCACTAAATAGGACGTACGTGAACCGAGCGCAGGACCCCACCAATGGATTGCTGCAAGGGGTAACCAACTCAAGATTTTCATGTACACTGATTATATTTAGAGTATGATTACATGTGATTTATTTTGATTATTTTATTATTTATCACTGATTATAGGAGGTTATTATGTTGATTATTGGGAAATATTGGGGATTATTTGAGCGCCGACCTCGGAAAGCTGTTAAAGTGTCAGAAATTCAATATTGGTGACTTTGGGCAGCCACTGCGTCAAAATTAGTTGCGGTCATGGGCCTTCCTCGACGCCTTACTATTATGAAGGTCCTACTCTTTCATGCCCCGCCTCGGGAAGGCTTTGACCGCTGATAGTTTGGGAGCAGTGGTCTCGCAAAAATGGTCAAAAAGTGAATGAATTTCAGAAAATTACCGTTTTTGCTGACTTTGAGCGGTCACTGCATCCAATTTAGTTGCGGTCAAAGGCCTCCCTCGACGCCTTACTATAATGAAGACCCTACTCTTTCATGCCCCGCCTCGGGAAGGCTTTGACCGCTGATAGTTTGGGAGCAGTGGTCTCGCAAAAATGGTCAAAAAGTGAATGAATTTCAGAAAATTACCGTTTTTGCTGACTTTGAGCGGTCACTGCATCCAATTTAGTTGCGGTCAAAGGCCTCCCTCGACGCCTTACTATAATGAAGACCCTACTCTTTCATGCCCCGCCTCGGGAAGGCTTTGACCGCTGATAGTTTGGGAGCAGTGGTCTCGCAAAAATGGTCAAAAAGTGAATGAATTTCAGAAAATTACCGTTTTTGCTGACTTTGAGCGGTCACTGCATCCAATTTAGTTGCGGTCAAAGGTCTCCCTCGACGCCTTACTATTTTGAAGACCCTACTCTTTTATGCCCCACCTCGGGAAGGCTTTGACCGCTGATACTTTGGGAGCAGTGGTCTCGCAAAAACGGTCAAAAGTGATTGAATCCCCGAAAGTATGATTGTCATTTCATTGGATGATGTTGATTATTTCACTGATTACCAACTAGACGTTAGCCGCCTGGAAGGAAGGCAAAAAGTCACACTTTCCTCCTGTAAGTAGGCAACTTCTGCTGCACCCCCGTCCCCCTGAACGCGTCTCTGGATCCGCACGAGATCCACCCTTGGGGGTGAGAGGCAGGGGAAGGGCGATGGGAGTTTCGGCAAGGGGGAGGGGGAAGGGCCGGCCCTTGATCGACGGATAATTGGTATGCACCCTTCCGAAGGGCACGCCTTGGCCATGCCAGGCCAGGCCATGCTTCGCCGTGTTACATCGTTGCGCCCTTCCCGGAGCAGCGGCCGGAGCACGCACTTCGGAACAGGGCGCTCGACAGGGGCGGGCAAGGGGCGGGGGAAAGGGGGCGGGGGTGGGCACGGCGCCGTCGTGGACCATTTCCGCAAAAACAAATGACACGGCCATCGGGGAAAACCTGTCGGCGGCACCACTCCGGCCTCGGCCCGGCCTCGGCCTCGGCCATCACGCGCTGAAAGGAACTAATTTGTCGGGCCTGATTACGGGGCCAGCAGCACCTCCAACGCTCTGTCTCTCTCGCACCCATGCATGTGGTGCGCAGTGAGTGCGAGAGAGACAGATGGAGCTGCAGGGGAGCAGGGCAGGGCAGCCCGGTCCGGATTGGATGCACGCGGGCTGCCGCGAGTGCCACGCGAGTGAGTGGCACAGCCCGGTGAAAGGGGGCACAGTGGGCACAGTGGGCCAGAAGACCGGTGGAGGCGGCCAAAACTCTAGACGCGTTTTGAGTTCCAGAGTCGCTAAACAGGCCTCGAACTGAACATGTGACCCCACCAATGGATTCCTCGTTCGGAGAGCAATCCATTGGTGGGGTCACACGTTCGGTTCGAGTCCCATTTAGCGACTCTGAAGTTCAAAACGCGTCCGGGATTTTGGCCGCCTCCACAGGTCTTCTGGCTGGCAAATACACTCACTGTGCTACGAGGCTAATGCGCTCTGGTTCCAGACCGTCTTCGCGGGGCAAGAGGGTTGGGCGTCGCCAAGGCGTTCTAATAAGCAGCATCATGCGCCTCGCGGTACTTTTATGGGACCGCCGGGGAGGCACCATGGCGCAATGTGAAATATAGACAGGCGGCTCCGTGGTGGAGGGCTGCCAAGACCCGCCCTCCTCCGAAGCCCCCTCGCCCCGCCCCGCCCCTCACGCCCCATGGCCCCACGCAGCCCGGGTTTGCGGGCCCGCGATATAGGAGTCGTCGTTTTAATGAAAATTCGTCAACGCGATTCAGTCCCTGGAGGGTCGGGGCGGGGCGGGGCGGGGCACGGCGGGGCGAAGCTTGGCTAGGCCGCCACGCTGCTGTCAGCCTCGTGTTTAATTCGTGTAAAGAAAGCGCCGGGCGGAGGGCGGCGGCGGGGCGGAGCAGGCAGCTGGCTGCTTCCGAGCAGCCTCCTCTCTCTCTCTCACTCTCTCTCTCTCTCTCTCTCTCTCTCTCTCTCTCTCTCTCTCTCTCTCTCTCTCTCTCTCTCGAGGGCGAAGATGCGAGAGAGACAGAGTGACTGTGTTCGCAATGAGACTGCAGGGCGTGGACCAGGCCGGGGCGGCAGATATGGGGTGACGCACCCCGCGCCCCCGCGCCCCCGCGCCCCACGCTCAAGGGGCCCAGGAAGCGGCAAGCGGCGCCAACTTCCGAACGAACGCCAGTGTGCCGGCATGGTGCCCCGGCGTGCCGCCGTGCCTCCGCGCAGCGCAGGCCGACACACGTGTCAATGCACACTGCGAATTAAAGTGGCCGTTTGTTTGGCTTTCGCCGCTTTCGCGATGCAGTGCAGCGCGGGGCTCACAGTGCAGCTTCTTGCACGACTGGTTCCACTTTGATTTTAATTTTTCGCAGTGCAGCGCCGCACCGGGAAACGCCCCCGTGACTTTCCCTTTCTCGCAGACAATACCGGAAGCGCGATAGTAATTTTCATAAAACTCTTTCGGGAAACTTTGGCCGCGGCGTTGTGTAGGCCGCCCTCCCTCCTCCCGCCTTTCAACACGGGGAGCATTCATAAACCACGTGACAGATTCCGCGCCGTCTCCACTCTCCGCGGCCGATGGCGCCGAGCGAGGTGGTTTTTGCTCTTGTCTTGGGTGACTTTACGGGCCGTTTGAGGCCACGCGCGCTCTGCACGCCGATTCCGGACCGGACGGTGCTTCCTCTCTCGCACTCACGGGGCGTTGGGCGTTGCGTGAGGGTGCGAGAGAGACAGAGAGACTCCAGGCGCGCTGCACCCCGGCGCGTTATCTCGTGCAATTGAAACTTCTGCCTCAGCGATGACCGCTCCGCATCCTCGCCATCCACACGCAGCGCCACGCAGGGCCGGTGCCGCCAACGTTTTGCTTTATCTTTCTGCCACATTGGAAGAAGCGAAAAAACAGCCGAAAACAGTGCATTAGCATTTTCCAGAAAATAATAATCGCCGCAAATGTTAAACGCGGTGACTCTTTGCTGGTGTAGTGTCTGGTCTGTAGTGTACGGCGCCGGCGCCTCCGCCTGCAGCAAAAGCAGCAAAAGCCGCCCGGCGCGGCGAATTTTATGAGGCGGACAAAGGATTGTTGTAATTATCGCAATAGCGAAGGCGGTGGTGCTGCCTGCCTGCCGGTCTGGGCGGCGCAGACTTTATTAAAATGAGAAATGACGTTGCACGAGCCTTGGCGGCCTGCCTGCCTGCCTGCCCGCCTGGCGCCACGTCATCGCCGCCACCTTTGGAGCGGCTCCGTCAGACAGCGACCCATTCAGCCACGCGTGAGTGATGATAAACTAATCCTGGGAAGTGCGAGGCGAGGCGCGGCCACGCCGAGGCGCCGGGGCCGCGTGGTTCACAGTGGGTCCGCGTTCCACCGTTGGGGGTAGGGTAGGGTAGGGCCGGAAGTCTCTCGCGCGCCCCCGGCCCCGGCAGGTAGGCCGTCCGAGAGACTCGAATCCAACCTGCCTCCCGTGGCTCCACTGCTAGGGAAGTGCCTGCAGACTCAATCCAAAGGATCGTTTCGTCGCTCTGTGTCTCTCGCACGCGCACCTACGAAAAGCACCACTCTGTTGCACTCATGGGGGCTTCGAAGAATTTGCAAAAGAGACAGAGCGACGAAACGATTTTTCGGAGTCGCTCAGCTGCTAGTTTTTTGCATTGCCTTTTTAGTTGATTTGAATAGAAGTTGTTGGTCGTAGCCCAAGCTGACCCTTGCAGAAACGTTGAACTGAGGCGGACTCTACCCTCCACACCGGACTTCCCTGCGCAGTCTAGCTCCGGCGTGCCGTTGCCGTACCATTCAGCTGTTTAGACTAAACAAACACTGATTATTCTCCGTTGCTGAGCGCTACGCCGCTACGCGCTGTTGTGTTTGTTTCCCTTTTTCTCCCTTTTGCCCTTCTTCCCTCCGACTCTTGGAGAAGAAAGGCCCCACTGCATAATAAGTTACTTCGCAGCACGCAGCAGCCCTCTCCGATAAGTGGGAGGGGAAGGACCAGGGCACCGCTGCCGAGATTCTTTTTCATCTCTCTCTCTCTCTCGCTCTCACTGACTTATTTTTTTTTTTTTAAGAAAAATGCAGGAACCATACACACTATTTTAAAAACCCATAACTGCAACACTTAAACTCAAGACTCGCCCGCATCCGCATTGCCAGCTAATGCTCATTGCTCTTAGCCTGCTAAAGCTCATGCGAAAGTGCCTGAATAAGTTTCTTAAATTTTCACCATGAAAAGTTTTTTTTGTCAGTAACTCAATGACAATGGCAGCAACTCAATAAGCACAGCTGGACGCACGCCCTGCATGCGTTGCTTTTAAATTCCTCCGACTTTCTCATACTTTCCCGCTCCTCGCCGTAATCGAACGTCGCTTCGACTCAACCACCGGTTTGTTGTTATCAGCTCAGCTGTGTTGTCTTTCACGTCTCCGTTCCGTTCTGCTTGAACGAAAGGAAAGGCGTCTTCGACGTCACCCTTGCCTGCGTGTGAAGTGGTCCCCAGCCGGCCGGACTGTGTGAATCCTGCAAATTGTCACGGCCCCACGCCGTGATTCGGGGAGCAACAAGGCCTGAGAACTCTAACCTAGCCGTCCTGCTGTCAAGCACTGTCAAGCACTGTCAAGGCGATCGAGGCTGTCAAGATGGTTCGCGTCGCCTTCCTGCACCCTGACCTGGGCATTGGAGGCGCAGAGAGGCTCGTGGTTGACGCTGCCCTCGCACTGCAAAGCAGAGGCCACTCAGTCCGCTTCGTGACAAACCACCATGACAAGAGCCACTGCTTCGAGGAGACGAGGAATGGCACCTTTCCAGTCACTGTGGTCGGGGACTGGATTCCACGAAGCATCTTTGGCTTCGCCTTCGCGCTCTGCGCTTACATACGAATGATATATGCTGCATTGTACATTGTGCTGAACAGTAACGTTGAAGCAGATGTTATATTTTGTGACCAAATTTCCTACGCTGTTCCCATTTTACATCTACGGTTTTCCAGGGTATTGTTTTATTGTCATTTTCCCGACCAACTGCTGAGTAAACCTGGAGGTACTCTTAAAAGAATGTACCGTGCCCCTCTTAATTGGATTGAAGAAAAGACAACAGGTCAAGCTGATAAAATAGTTGTCAACAGTAAATTTACCAGGAGTATTTTTAAGTCTACGTTTAAGAACTTAACAAAGCTCCCAGATGTCCTGTATCCTTCCATCAACACTGATCTAATTGATGGGACAACTCCAGAGTCTCTGGCAAGTGTGTTGCCAGTAGAGCTCCCTGTCAATGCATTTGTATTTTTATCAATTAACCGCTATGAAAGGAAGAAAGACTTGGGATTGGCTCTGTCAGCATTAGGGCATCTCAAGACCATCTTGACTCCTGAACAATTTGATAATGTTCGTGTTGTAATGGCAGGTGGTTATGATCGCCGTGTCATAGAGAACATTGATTATTATGCTGAATTGGTTGTTCAAGCTGATGAACTAAAGGTTTCCTCTCAAGTTATATTTTTAAAGTCTCCTTCTGATGCCCAGAAACTCGCATTACTTGTGGGTTGTCACTGTGTTCTTTACACTCCAACTAATGAGCATTTTGGTATAGTCCCACTCGAAGCTATGTACACATCTAAACCTGTCATTGCCACAAACAGTGGTGGGCCCACAGAGACTGTAGTTGATAGTAAGACAGGATATTTAAGGAAGCCTGATGCAAAATCTTTTGCCGATGCTATGGCAGTGTGTGTGAGAGATCGTGAAAAATGTAAAAACTTGGGAATAGAAGGTCGAAAGCGCTTCAGAGATCACTTCTCTTTCAAGGCGTTTACTAATCAGTTGGATACTTATATCAAAGATCTTATGAATGATGAAAAGAGTGACTGAGATTTCAAGTCTTTTCTTTGTTTTACTCATGCAACTTATTAGACAATAAATTTATTTAAATTCCTAATCAATTCTCATTTTTTTACCCAGTTTACCATACCACATTTTTCAAAAAAAAATTCTTAGAGTCGTAGGTCTCCTTTTGACTAGGACTCTATTACCTAGAGCAGCTAAGAATTTCTCATAAAAAGAATCAGCGATGAGGAGAGGCAGTGTAAACATGGCCGCCCACATGCATAGAGTGATGCAGGTTCCGCGAGTAGTTTTGGAAAATTCAAGGATTCCCTGAAAGAATGTGCCTTTTCTCGTAACTTTATTTTGAGGCGTTTTTCTGTGGCTAAAGATGGCTCTGAGTCTCCTTCCCAAATTTCTTCTGAAACTAGTACTGAACCGGAGGTTGAACCTAACCCAACAAACACTTCTGCTATTTCTGCCATATCTGAAACTAAATTTGAGGATTCTCGTAAGTCCAGAAAGATTGATGCCTTGATTAAACCAGCAGTGCAAGGAGACGCTTCAGAGAGTTTTGCCAAATTATTTAGAGAATCCAACTTTACTAATGTAAGTGCTGCCTTTTTCGATGCGAATTGTTTTCTTTTCTATTTAAAAATTAGTTAACCTGTGCTCTTTTTGTAAAAACTTTTTTATGACCTGATTATGTGGTATATGTTGCAGTTGGGTAATCCTAGAGGAAAACTTGTCTATGGAACTATTTATCGGATTGTGGGCGACGACATGTACATAGATTTTGGTTGGAAATTCCCTTGTGTTGTGAAGAAACCATCAGAAGATGCTCAGTAAGTTAGCCTTCTTGAAATTTTGATATTTTGAAATTTCTTTATGTATTCCTAATCTATTGATTTATTTTTTTCTAGCCTATATGTTAACAAAGCAGAAGTTAAATTGAGGATCATTGATCTTGAGATGTCAACCATATTTTTAGGGGCTGAGAAAGAAACCTCACTCAATGAAGCCAATTGCCTTCTAGTTGGCCTTGTCAAATCTCCCCTTGGTGTTCCTTCAAATCAAGGATCTGCATCCTATTAATGTTGTGTTAGTCAGAGTAGCTATTAAACTGTTTCTTGTAAGTATTGGTCATTAAGGATAAGAAATACACCAAATGTACACTTAAATTGTGTATTTGTCATGTCCCTAAAATATGTTACTGTAACATATCAGCACTGAGCTTGCAATATTGGCATCTAAGTATCACACACACTGTGTAATTTATCTGATTCTCTATTGCAAACCAACAAAGGATAAAGGAAGACAATACCAGTGCATCTAGATTTTCATTGCTAGGCCAGTCTTCATCATCAACACGGCACTATTTACAATTTTGTTGTTAACAATTTATAATGTACGATGTACATTCAACATATAACACTATTTTTTCTTCAGTCCCTTGTTACCTTGTAAGTTTAAAACTCAACCATCTCAAAATAGCAGCAAAATTTTACTAGCATTTATTTCTTTGCCTAGAAAAATACTGTACTGTAGTGAAGTAAATATTTGGGTCAATACCTGTTAAGATGTCTCAATAGTTTAACAAATCAATTGACAAATCGCTCTGAGATTGAGAAGGCAATGACATTACTGCCCTTAATACAATGTAAAATTACAATCACTTAAGATGAGAAACTGACCTATTTCAAATAGCTTAGAGATTAACATCCATGGATTCAATGCAGATTAGTAAGATGACGACTATTAAACCCCAAAGTACAATTCATAAGTGGTCAAAAATAGTGATGGACTACTATCCAAGGCTTGCATGTGGGTTCACATGTAACACCACCATCTTTAGTGTTGACTAGATAGAAATTTAAAGATAAAGCACACAAAAATAATGGCTTTACTTTTGCTTTTTACTGCTAAGTGTGCTTTTTGCCTTGCACACAATGAAATATTCATTGCATGAAAACAATGCAACGCTAAGAAAATACTTTTTCTTTTAGTCAACAGAGGTACAAAATGGCACATTTCATTGATTTAGTTGCAGCTAAGAAGGCAACCCACTAGAGTGCAGCATTAACTTAATTGAAAGATTTTCCTACATGAAAAGCACGAACACAACAACCAATGACAGGAAAACCAGTAACCGGTCCTAATTTGAAGAATCTGAGTGGGTTGCCATTTATGTCTAACAGCCTAGCTGTAAACACATTTCCAATTTCAATTAGCTCAAGTGACATCAAAATACAAGATCTGATATTATCATATATACTTTTTGGCAAAAACCTCTGACAAAGTAAAAAGCTAGCTCAGGAATGTATGGACAAAACACATCATTGTTCTACAAGTTGATAACAACTGTTTCATACACACAGAACACAATTTAACATTGAAGAGTTGGGATGTCAAAGCACATGACAAAAGAAAAATTGCTCAATATGGAATAATTTTTTTTTAAATGGGCATGCTTGACAGAAAATATTGCCTCAGGCACATTGAATAAAAGTTAAAGTCACAAAAGAAAAGAAAGGAGAAGTCAGGAATATGTTCAACTTAAATGAAAGTAAAACTAATAAAAAAAAATTATGGGAATAATTGTACTGCACTAAGACAGGCAGACACTGTCCACAAAAGCAACTACAGTACATACAGGTATAGTAGGTATAGCAATTGATATGGGACATCACTAACCAAAACAAAATCAAAATCATGTTTTCTGAGTTAGTGCAAGGATAAAATGACAAGTTCATAATTTGTTGACAGAGTAAGATAGTAAAATTCATTCAAAACTGTAGGACTGTTATAGATTGAAGTCAAAATGACTAACAGTTAGGTATGAGCTACATGAACTACATTGAACCCAGTAAGAAATTAATGATGAAATCAAATGTGATGCAGATATTCTTAAAATAAAATAGCGAGAAGTAAAGGAGAGTGCAAAAGGACAATAAGAGATCAGAAGAAAGCATGGGCCGATAAACAAAGATATGAAATTACACTGATTTCCCTTTGATTTGTTCCTAGCTCACATTTACAACACAACACTTCAATTCATTGGACTCATAGTTTTTTTTACATTGAACCTCAAGCTGTAAAGATACAAAACCTTCCAAACACTTGAATAAACAGAACAAGAACAAAATAGAACAATAAATAATTCATCAAATGTTTGATCAAATGAGAAAGCAAGACAAATAGGGTTTTGGTGAAGGAAATGACTGACATAAATCTGGAGAACTACATTTAAAAGTGCCATTCTTCTTAAAGCAAGACTAAAAATTGTTTGAAATTATAACCTCACACTGACAATCATGTCAAAAGAAACATCAAAACACATTAACACAAATTATGAAAACATACACGTAGAAAAAATTATTGCAAATTACTATGTTGGTATCAGACCCAATGCTAACTACACAGTGGATTGTCATATAGTGCTCAACAAGAAGACTTACACTCACAATTATGGCAAACTGAAAATTCCATTAACACAATTGAATTTCAAACTCCTCCATACACTTACTAGATAGATATATATATATGTAAATATATGAACACAGTCTGTTCACATGTCACATCACAGCTCTCATGCACACACAAAGTGGTACAATAAAGGTTAGATCAGAGGTTTAAATATAGATAAGAAAATCAGAAATTTTGTTGTCTTTTCCTCTTCTGATCCATCGCATCAAGAATAGGCTGCCGTTTAGTTTGATATCTTCGCCGAAGCTCATCTATTTCCCTTTCCATTTCTGAATCAAGACTTGCCATTCTTGTTTGTAGTTCTTCATAACTCAGGAACTTAAGCTGGAAGATGTAAATTTGTTTTAAAAATAAATTAAATTCAGAAACGTCAAGCAACTAAAGAGAGTAGATCAAAATGTTAAAATCTTACAAATTCAAAATCTCCATCAACATATGCTTGTTGAAACTTTGCTTGGTTTTCATGATGGTTCTGACAAGCACCATGATTGTGGTTGTCAGATGGTACTCGATGCAACTGTCCACCAACTGCAGATATTTGATTCAGTTGCAACTGTAGATGGCTCTGAAATCTTTGTCTTTCTTCACCTGATAGCTGTGTTGGAGCATTGATCTCATTATTCTGCAGATCAAACAAAACAACAGCTTATTAATGTCACCATACACCTGAGAGAGCACACCTAGCATTCTTACTTTGAAGCTTAAACTATGCACTGACCTGATGAGTGTGTTGGTCTAGAGATTGAAGCCTTTGTGGAGGCACAGGTACATCAGACACTGGTGATGCAATGTGATCATTGATTGCCATATTGTGAGATGGTGATTGTGGTAGTTGGCCATTACCCTGAAAGACGGCGATACATTAATGTTGAAACAATGTGAAGCATGTAGACTAACCGCTGACCAACCTTCCAGCCTGATAGCCTTGTTAGCTACGGTAATGAAGAAAAATACTAAGTCAACATACCTGATTTTTCACATTTTCTGCTTCTTTCTTGTCAAAATGTTCTAAGAAAAGTGGCCTATATTTTTTGCTTGACTCCCCTGGACCAGTGTCATGCCCTATATCAGAGGAAAAAAAAGGAAGAAACATTAGCTATGCGGCAGAGGCGAAAATGACACGGAGTTCATTGAGCAAATGCAAACAAACTTACTCTTCATTGTAGATTCATCCTCTGTATCACTATTAATAACCATAGTACCTAAATCAGATTGTAGCTCCACCAAAGTGCCACATTCACCAGGAACAAGTGTACCTGAGTCCATTTCAATCATGGTTCCAGAGTCAATTGCGTCTCTATAAGGCACTAGTGTTCCTGCATCCCCAGCTACCATGGTTTTGCTATTAATTCCTTCATCATCCTAAGGGACAAAATACAAGTTAAACACGTCAATAGAAAAACCGAGCCAAAAATCAAATTATATGATATGTTGGAACTGACCGATTTATTGTCTATGTGATTTTGTTTAGCATTATTTCGACTACGTTGATTTTCCCTGATTTCCCTTGCCTCTGCTATCATTTGGCTCAAAATTGTTGGTGGTTTGGCATTACCTATGACAAGAATGAAAAATATACAGATGTAAATAACAGCAAGCAAAACTAAAATATTTCATATTTTTCTAAAAATTAATGATATTGAAATTACCTATGAACTGATGTTGAAGCAGTTCGCTAGCCGTGGCTCTTTCTTCTGGATTTTTGACTAAGCAACGGCTGACAAAGTCTATGAATTCAGGAGACCACTGGTCTGGTTTCCTGAAGGAGGGTGGAGGCTTGGTAGGTATCATAAAAATAGCTCGCATGGGATGAATATCTCCATAAGGTGGCTTTCCTTCTGCCATTTCAAGACCAGTAATACCTGCAAAGTTGATGACAAGAAAAATTAAAATAAGTCTCCCAGTGGAGCATTGCACTTGCCTTTGAAAAAATATCTGCCGGTGCATACCTAAACTCCAAATATCAGCCATACAATCGTAACCAATTTCTTGAATAACTTCTGGGGCCATCCAAAACGGAGTTCCTATGACTGTATTTCTCTTGGCCATTGTATCCTATAAATGAAAAAAAATAAATATTAACAAAATTTATTTCCCTTCCAATAGTTAAAAAATTGAGTTAAAAGATAAACTTCGACACTAAAAACTTACCGTCAGTTGCCCTGCTACCCCAAAATCTGCCAGTTTTGCATGCCCTTCTGTGTTGAGCAAAATATTGCCAGCTTTAATATCTCTGTGAATTTTACGTCGCAGATGCAAGTATTCCAAACCCTTCAGTGTGTCGCACAAAATAGTGGCAATTTCATCCTCAGATAGGGTTTTCTTTCGGAGCCGCATGATATCCGATACTGAGCCTGCGCCACAGTATTCCATCACAATCTAAAAGAGGACAAAAACGGGTCGCATTAGTTGTTGCAAAAAAAAAAAAAAGAAAGCACCAATCTTTTTTTTTAAATAGTAACTGTTGGAAGCTTGTAGTTTTTAAGGTGAAAAATGTGCTTAGTCGTTCTGTGTTAGGACAATGCAGCTTTCTTTCTGTTTCAGTCATTACCCTGAAAAAGCCATACAACATTCTATCTCTTTCTATTCTGCCAGTCTTTTGGCCAAGTGCACCACAGCGACGCATCGTTGCGGCTGCTGGGGCAGGGACATCGCCGCGCCGCGCCGTGCGTCCCGCTCCGCCCCTGCACGCCGTGCCGCGCCAGCCACGCGCACTGCCCCAGATAAATATAACCGTCGCGGGCAGCACCGCCGAGCTAGCAGAGCCATGGCGGCGCGCGGCTACGCGCGGCTAGCGAGCGCAGATGAGCAGGGCGGAATATTGTCGAGACACTTTAGGCACTGCCGCACCGCACGGCGTCAGGTGCGGCAGCCCACAGGTGCTCATGTTGTTGTTGTTTGGGGGCAGCTGCGCATGGCAGGCTTCATCGGGCCGCGCTCCATGGCACTTCCCCCAACAACAACAACAACAAGATAACCGGCAGCACCTGAGCCCGTTGACACCTCGTCGACGCGCACCACACCGCGGCAGGCGAGGCAGACGGTGGTGCGACAACGCCACAGGGTTTCCCTGTGACGCTCTTCCTCCCCTCCCATGCATCCTCTGCTTTGGCGACCGTCGCGCGTCGCGGCGAGGTGGGACCGTGTGGGTGGGTGCGACAGAGACGGCCGTCCCTCTCACTCAGCCGCCACCGGCAATGCCCACCGCCATTCACGCGGCGGCGCCGCGGTCAACAACACCCACGCCCGCCAAAACTCGACCGCCATCACAATCGAGCGGTTTAAGACGCCTGCCACTCAGTGTATCCGCCTGCACCATTATTGAGACTGGTCTTCACTTCAAACCCTACGGGTCAGTCCAAACAAAGGGAGGGGAATGGATGAATTGCTGGTCCCCGACTGCTACACACCCAGAGGTCCGTGTTCTTGAAGTAGGAGCCGTAGTACTTGACGACGTAGGGGCTGTCGCACTGCTGCATGATGGAGATCTCCTTGATGATCTCCTGCAGGTCCGTGTCGACGGGCACCTGCTTGATGGCCAGCACCTGCCCCGACTCCTTGTGCAGCGCCTTGTACACGCTGCCATAGGAACTGAAAAAGAAAAACAAAATTCAAACAATGCCGATTTTCTGAAAAAGATGCGCGGCTGCCCCTCGTTGACACCACGTGACAGCCGAAGTTTTCTCGGTGCACACAAGCGGCAAACTTGACTTACCCTTCTCCTAATTTGCATATTATGTCGAAAACCTCCTCCGGCTGCCGCGTCAAGCTCTCCTCGGAGAGCTTCTTGAGCTCGCTGCAACAGACAAAAGCGCGCGGTTAGCCAGCGTTCCAAATGGCGGCCAATTTCCATTCCCCGGCCGAAATTTAAATCGGGCGTGGCCGGGCGGGGCGGCGTATCGCGGCCGGAAGTGGGGAAGGCCGGGGCCGCCACGACCGTCGCTCTGTCTCTCTCGCACTCATGGGGCGTGCCGTCGAGTGCGAGAGAGACAGAAGCTACTCGCCAGGCGTGGAATGTGGACGCGATAAGGGTCCCCGGAGCGCGCCGAGCGCCTGCGAAGCCGAGGTAGGCTTCTCTGCAGCGCACCGGCGCGCTCCGGCCGGCCGGCGGCCTACCCGCCACTACCATTACCATTACGGGCTAGACCACACATGATCGTATGCCGTTTCGGGCCCGACACAAGCTCGCCTGCACTGCAAAACGGGCGCTCGGCCCAGCAGACTCACGCCGTCTCTCTCGCACCTGTACGGAACGCCCCGTGAGAGCGAGAGAGACGACAACGTCGCGGACAAAGAGACCGATTGGCACGACACGTTGGCAAGGCCAAAAGCCGAATGCGGGTCGGCCCGGGGAAATAGTTGCAGTCGGACTCGGCGGACTGACACCGAAAGTAGCTTTTCGTCGCTCTGCCTCTCTCGCACTCGTGGCGCGTCCTGTACGGCGACGACAGAGACAGCGCCACGAAGACGACTCTCGGAATCAGTCTGCCGGGCGTCACGAGTAAACACCAACACGGCCGTGGACGGCAGGGCGCGGCAGGGCGGCCCAGGCCCACGGGCTGTAAATATTTCAGGAGGCGTGCAGGGGGCGACATCCAGGGGCGGGGGAAAGGGGGAGGGGGAGGGATGGCGCAGAGCAGCAGACCTCTGGGCGCCTTGCCATGCAAAAAGGAGGATGCGGCCAGGGCCCCGGCCGGGGGCAGGCCGCGCAGGGCACAGTGGGCCAGAAGACCGGTGGAGGCGGACAAAAGTCGAGACGCGTTTTGAGCTCCAGAGTCGGCAAACAGTACTCGAACCGGATTCCTCGTTCGGAGAGCAATCCGTTGGTGGGGTCACACGTTCGGTTCGAGACCTGCTTAGCGACTCTGGAGCTCAAAAGGCGTCTAGAATTTTGTCCGCCTCCACTGGTCTCCTGGCCCACTGTGCAGGGGGTGCACTGCACGGCCAGCATGGCCACCTCGCCGAGGATCCACGGCGAGACGCGCCTTCGTCTTCACAGCCAAGGACACCAAGAGCTGGGAAAGGCTCGGGGAACCGCCAAACCCAGTGCCGCTGACGTCCAACCAGACTCATTCCGAGCGTCGGCGTCGTCGCTGTGTCTCTGTCGCACTCATGGGGCGTCCCGTACAGGTGCGACAGAGACAGAGCGACGAAAACGACTCTCAGTCTGCGCTTGCCGCGTGCTTACGCCGTCAAACCGATCGCATCGTCATCCTGTTCTTCCTTTTCGCGCCGAGCAACAACACGCGGCGCTACACAAGGTGCGCGAGCGTGTGAGGATGTCGCAGTGTGTGTGCGCGCGCGCACCTCAGCCTCGCGGGGCACGGCGAAGGTCACTGGCAGCGGAGCATTAAAACGAGACGGAATCAAAATGATAAAAGACAGCCGATGAGTCACTCGGCTCGTCTCGGCACGCTCCGTGACCGCGGGACCGGGCCGGAGGCGGACCGGAACAGCCGCGGACTCAGAGAGGCGATAAGGGGACGGAGGAGGCGGCGGGGCACGGGCCACGGGCCGGGCGGTCAGCGCGGAGAGGAAGGAGGACGAAGCGAAACGAGAAGAAAACAGAAGATAGTGTCGTAACGCCCCAGCTATGCCAAGGCCTTTCCAGAATTTTGCCCCCCCCCTCCCCGCTCCCCAAGTCTTCATTCACGAGTTAAGCCTAAGCTTTGAATCCGCTTGGCCTAAAAATGTCACGTGTCCCCCAAAAAACCGCCCCGAAACAGTGACCGCCGTGCGACCTTCCTTTCACAGTGTACCGAGTGTGGGCGGGCGGGCCTGCAGGCTAGGCAGACTCTGTTTGGGTGCATTGCCCCTCATTGCCACAACTGCTGCTGCTCCAGGGAAAACAAATGGAGTGTCCACCGGGGGGCAGCGACGCAGGCTGCGGACTGATTCAGAGAGTCGTTTTCGTCGCTCTGCCTCTCTCACACCCATACGCGACGCTCCATGAGTGCGAGAGAGACAGCCACAAAGGCGACTCTGGGAATCAGCCCGCTGCTGGACCAGCGGCGTAGGGGCCATGGCGGGGCGGCACACAATGCAACCCGTCAGCTTTACTACGCCCCTGGGTTGGAAAAGACAAACAAAAACAAAGTTGTACGAGCGAATTTATCAGGGCGCCATGACAGCTCTGGCAAATTGACTGGCGTCTGGTTGGTTCAGCTGTCGCGTTCCGGGTTTAGCGGTGGAGGCAACCCCGCGGGACCACGGTATGATCTGCCAATAAAAACACTTCTCTGTTGCACAACGGGGGAAGCGCGCCTCCCGCCCCGTGCCGTGCCGTCCGCAAGCTTGGCAGCTTGGCCCCGGCCAGCTGGCGCTTGCTGGCGCTACCTGCGATAGAGTTGCCTTACAAAGTGCCGACCACGGAACTCGCGCCCGCATGTGGACGCACACTGCCAAGCGTCAAGCACACGCTAATAATCTCACGAAGAATGTCTAGCATTAGTTCGCAAATTGGGATTCGTTTTCTTTGTAGGCCTTTGTGCAAGCTCAGAACTATTTGTTTTCTTGGAAAGTAGTTTGTGAGGTTTTGAGGGTGAAGGCGGCGTGTGTGGCTGGCTGGTTGGTTCATCCCATATCCGACAATGACCTCGGACAAGTTAGTTCCACATTTAGAACCTGATGACAGATGGCAGCACTGCAGCACCGCGCGGCAAACTCGCAGTTCGTCGCAGAATTCCCAGGCATGTTCGCATTGGTCTTCAGTGTGCCTCAGACATGTTTCTGGATCAGTTTGGGGGGGGTGAGGCTTGGCGTTGGGCTGGCTGGTGGTCTTTTCCGACAATGCCTGGACAGTACCGCGGCAGATGGCACACTGCAGCCCCTCCCGCAAACTCCATTCTGCATGACTTTCCCAGGTCGGATTGTGCCCGGCAGATGTGCAACAGGCGAGACACACCCTGATCCGGAGTGGCGCTTGTTGGCCTCGGGGAGGAGGGGGGTCTGTGGCGCTCCAGACCTGGGCGTAGCCCCTCGGCTGGCCCGCTCCGCTTGCACTGCTTCGCCTCTTTCGCGATGCGCGCCTTGGCAGTGTGCAACAGGGGCTGATCCGGGGGCGCGTCGTTGGCCTGGGAGACGACGGCCGCCGTTGGCGACTCCAGGGTGCTGCCCTCGGCTGGCCCGCCTCGTCACAGCAGCACAGCCCGTCCGCGGCGCGCCTTCACGGTGCAGGTGAGGCGGGCCGTCGTTCTGGACACGGCCCGTGGCAACACCCGTGCATCCGGCGCCGTCACAGCTGCTCACACGGCCCGTCACCCACAGCCCGTCACACGGCCCGTCACACGGCCCGTCACACGGCCCGTCACACGGCCCGTCACACGGCCCGTCACACGGCCCGTCACACGGCCCGTCACACGGCCCGTCACACGGCCCGTCACACAGCCCGTCACACGGCGCGTGTCACTCGGGTTCACACACGCGACGCGGCGGGCGCTCGCGGCGGCGCGCGTTCAACTCCAACTCGCTGTGCGCCGACCACGCCACTGTCCTCGGCTCCTCGGCCGCCCGGCCGGTCGCAGCAGCGCACTGAGAGGGGAGGGAGCCCCCGTTCCGACCCCCGCCGCCCCTCCGCGCCGTGCCGGTCCTCGCCGTGCCGGCCGTGCCCCGCGGAGCGCGGAATGCACGTGTCGTCACACAGCAGACTCTCACTCCGACGCTCTGCCTCTCTCGCACCCAGACGCGACGCCGCATGAGTGCGAGAGAGGCAGAGCGACGAAGACGACTCTCAGAGTGCAGAGGGGCGCGGGGTCGCGCAGCAGCCGCACGCATCGGTTCAGTGGCTCTCCGGGGAAGGGGAGGGGTGGGGGAGGGAGGCGCGCGGGGAGCGGGGTGGAATTTGCGATTCGGGGTACGAGCGCCGGCGCCAGAGTCGCATTGAGGTATCGGAGGCCGTCGGGGTGGCCTGGGCTGGCCCGGTGCGTGCGGAGGCATTTCCCCTCGAGTGGGAGGCTGAGTCACCTGCGGGCTGGTCCTGTCTCTCTCGCACTCGTGTGGCGACGCAGCGCCGTGCATAACGGGCTGGACAGCCATACACGACTCGACACTTCTCGGCACGGCGGGGCGTGCTGCGCTGCTGCTGCGCGCGGTGAAGGGGCGGCGGCCGCCAAGCGAGCCAAGCGGTGCAAGGTTGAGTCACCTGTTCAGGCGATACCCGTCCAAAAAATTGTTTATTAAATAATTAGACGGTGCGGTGGGAGCTCCCTGAGCACCACCGGCCGGAACCGGTCACTTAGCGCACTACACTGTGGCACGGCCGGCACGGCGTGGCATGCTGTGACACCGCCCGAAATAATGTGTATCCGCGCTTCGCTCGCAGGGCTTCGCCGCCTTGCCTTGGCTTTGCAGTGCTTTGCAGTGCTTTGCAGTGCTTTGCAGTGCTTTGCAGTGCTTTGCAGTGCTTTGCAGTGCTTTGCAGTGCTTTGCAGTGCTTTGCAGTGCTTTGCAGTGCTTTGCAGTGCTTTGCAGTGCTTTGCAGTTGCAGTGCTTTGCAGTGCTTTGCAGTGCTTTGCAGTGCTTTGCAGTGCTTTGCAGTGCTTTGCAGTGCTTTGCAGGCGGGCCAGGCCACGCCGCCCCAGTGGACCGGCCCGCGCCCCGCCATGGCCCCACCCAAAACAACACGCACGGAACTAGACGAGGCACGGTGCCAGAGACGCATGCACTGCTACAAATTGGGTCCCATTTCAAAGCAGCTGTGCTCTGGCTCCTGTATGGGTCGTTGCACCAGACTTCACGTTGCCAAGCACGCCAATACTTTGGCCAAGCTGGACATCTTCCAGCAACGGCAGCAGAGCTTCACATTAAAAATGGACTGGTTGGATTTTAGAGGGATGTGGTCAGTGATGGTGTCGTAAAGCAAGTCTGTCAACGTTTGAGAACTATGATGTCGAAGAACTCGTGGAGTTTGGCGTTTGCATAGAAGGATTCTGAGGACTGGTAAGAGTGGCTCACTGGAAAAAACACAAAGTATATTGGCCCAATTCATATCCGCTGAAGAATCTTCAGAAATAGTTATCAACAAAGAAAGGGCTGAACTTGTCAGTCAAGGAAAATCAATTCAAGGTCTCGCAAATTCAAAACAACCACAGCCTTTCAAGGCGGTTTAAGCTAAAATCTTTTTCATAGAAAATATAAAAACAGTATAGTACTTTAACCAAACTTATGCCTCAGCTGGCTGGGGGTAATGTACACACACAATGAAAAACGACAGTCAGGGCAAGGTTAGTGCTTGCAAGCTTGACAGTGCAGACGACAGTTCCTTTCCCTACGAGCTAATGCTGCTGGTAACATCTAACTAGACCAATTCTGGGCATACCCCACTCGCTCATTGGGTTTATATTCCAGTAAACACATAGATCAAAAGCGATCGAATGTGAAGACTTCTGAAGTAGGGGGACTGGAGAAGGCGGGTGGGTGTTTACAAAAGTTTGTCAAAACTTACCTCTTGGATGACATTGTGGACACGCCTATTAAATTCTAGAAATCCGAATCGGCAGCCGTGTTAGGAATCCATCGTTTTTGTTGAATGTCTTCAAGTACATTAAAAATGTCACAAGATTCAGAAACTCGTACTTCACAACCAGGCATCCATGTTGCAGGGCGCAGGATGTCAGCCGCATAGCGAAAAACGACACACTGCAAAGGCGCACGAAAAATGTATGTTCTTCTGGGCGAACTTAAGATCTCGCCTTATCTAAGATCTACACTTATAAAGACCATAGGAAATGTTGGTGGAGAACTTTGCACTTTTTGTGTATCTTATGAGCCCCGGTCTTCGTTCATTTAAGGCTGTGATGTTGGCTGCACAAGTAACCGCGGCCGGTTCACCACCTGAAAGAAATAAGAGCCGGGTGGTGGGTGCAGGGGTGGGGGCCGTGGGCCCGGGGACCGGGGCAGCGCCGCGGGCTGCGGCTCACGGCTCCTGTTTGCTCCCGGGTGCCGAGCCCCATCTGCCACCTGTCACTTGTTTACGCGCGAAGCAAAACCCAAACCGAATTCTGCGACGGAAAAGAACACGGAAGGGGGCTGGTTACTTCTCGTTCCGTTCAAACCACTCGACAGTTTAGTTTGAGTGTCTGACACAGTCTAGTTTGTCGGAAAGAAAACTATCCACGATGTCATCGTTTGACAGGGATCAATCTATCGGAGATGAAGAGCAGATCAAAGAAGTAATGGAATATCTTGAACCCTTTAGTGAGTATCAGATACAGACGTGACGTGACATGCTGGCAGAATACTACCCAATTCCAATAACCCACCACCTTCCCCCACAATGGCCGAAATCCGACCGTCAGTCACACCTTTACACTTGTTTTATCCAGTTGTCTCCATCCAAACTTTTCAATCCTGGACTTGTTATGAAAAAGGTACCATTTCAGTTGATCACCATATCAAATATCGGAAGTAGGAAGCTAAAACAAGTACCGAACTGACTGACTGACGGTCGGATTCTGGCCTGTGGAGCCACCTCTACATATCAGGTGTCATCCTATATTCAATTAAATAATGTTTTCTTTTCTTTAGGAAGAAATTTCGAGGATGGAATTATGTCATTGTCAGATATGTACACTAATTCCATAGCCAATTATGTCAATGAATGCTGTAACAACAGGTAGGCACTTGCACATGTGTAGCAAGTTTTATCGCTGAACTGAATCAACTGTTCGTAAGGAGCCATTTATTGTAACTTGACCTCCATTGGCAGGACTCCCAGGGATGAATCAAATGATAAAAGGAATGAAACTGACAAAGCACTGAAACAGCTCCTGCTGAGTTCCTTGAAACTATCACAGGCCTTGATAGACAAGTACATTCGACAGATGCAACAGAAGTGACTTCACATTTCTTTTAGGAACCATGGAAAATCATGAGGTTTACTGTAGTCAAAGGTTGATTAATGAAAAATAATCTATATCATAAGTCAGACTAGATAAATGCAATTTTATTAAGTTTTCTACAGATATCATTTCTGTTGGGGTTGCAGAAATTGCTTTAACCATGTACTTCATAGAAATTTTGATGTCCAGATTCAAAGGATGTAACAGTTTTGATGAATTATACTAAAATCCACACATTCAGAAAATTTTAATTTGGCAAAAAGCCCACAGTTGAATAATACAACTGGATGTAAGTAAATTGTTCCAACAACAATTGTCAATATTGTAACATTTAACATCAACAGAGAACTAGTAAAATATAGCATATTGGAGTAACTAAACACCATTAATAAAAAATACGAATAATATCATTATTTCATTCATACCAAGGTACTGTCAGATTTTGTACACACAGTAGGACAGCACATGACCCCAAAGTATACAAGTTGATACAGCAGCTTATGCTGCAGGTATGTGTAGTCTTGAGGCAAGAAAATTTAAGGTGCAGGAGGTGCTCCATCCGGAGCTCCGTTGTTTTGAGAGTCTAGCTGTCTCCGGAGTTGCTCTACAAGTTCTGGGTTTGAGCTCTGCATGTGCTCAGCAAGCTGCTGGCCACTGTAAAAATATAGACAACATTTGTTGCAATTAGAATAAACCACCAATAAATTCTAATAATATAGAAAAATAAAAGAGTTATGAAGGTATAATACATACGCTCGTAGTAAAGCATCCATCGCATTACCATTCCCTGGTGCATTGCCAGAGACAATATTGCCCAGACTGGAAAAAAAAGAAAATTTTGAAAAAACTATGTCTGAACTCAATTACTTTATCTGACTTTTTGTATGTTCTACTTACACATTTTGCATATTGGGATCAGAGAGGACCTGTGAAGCCATGGCCATAAGATCTGTGTTAGCAAGCATACTGCCAACAGGGCCTAAATTGGGAACGCCTCCCATTAAGAAAGGTGATGCAGATATTTTTTCTTGCGCCTGTTGTAAGTTATTCCTGTAGCTCTCATTTTCTGGGTCCAATTCTACAGCCTTGGCATATGCATCTCGAGCTTCTTCATGCTGCCCTAGGCTGGCATATGCTAACCTGAGAACCAGACAAGTGTAAAATAAACAAGAAAAGAAAATATAAATAACTTAAGGATAAACCTGCAAAGAATTCCATATGATTGATGAAAAGACGGAACAAATAAAATCACTCACCCTAATCTTGCATAGGCTTTACAGTATGTTGAGTCAATCTTTAAAGCCTGTTTTGCGTCTGCAATGGCTTGCTGGTAGTTGTTGAGTCTACTATGGGCAGCAGCCCTATTACAGTAGAAAATCGCATTTCGACCATCATGTGCGATTGCTCTGCAACCAACAGATAAATTGATTAAAACTACAAGGCACAGTATGAGTAGGATCATATAATAAGATATGCTCGCACCTTGTGTAACACTCTACAGCTTCTGCTAATTTCTCATCGCGCATAAAAGCATTCCCCTCCACCTTGAACTTTTCAGCTTCAGCTTTACTCTCAGGGCTTGCTTCTGGAGGTAGTTCCTCATCTCCCTTAATGGAAAATAACAAGAAGCAAAATGGTCATCCATCTGAAGTTGAGGTTCTAAATAAAATTTACTTCGAGACAAACACTCACATCATCAGTTGCCCCAGTGTAGTCACGATACATATCAAGAAGAGAGGTGTTTGATCTCAAGGATTCATCAGCACCAGATACACTGTACGCACTTTCAAGGCACTGGATTGCCACCTCTAAACTTTCCACAGCATCAGATGAAAGACCCCCATTCTGCATTTGGTCATTGAGGAAGTGGATCATTGAGGCAACTAAGTTCTTAACAGAACTCATCTTAAAAAAGGGTTGTTTGCCCAGTCGTCCCTGCACACAGAAAGATACACAATTTCATATTATTGAACTAAAGATGCAATAAGAAACGTGAATAAAGTAAAAGGCATAATATAAAATGACATCAGTGTCGTACTAAAAGCTAGATAAAACTGTACATTTTATGAAAACACCAAACAAAACACAAAGGAACTTAAGAGAAAAATATGGTAGTACAGGCAATAACCGGCAGAAATCAAAAGTTGCATTATAAAGAAAGTGTTTGTTTATTTAAATTAAAGCATGATGACTGGGCCAATGATATGCTAATAGTTCAGCATGAAATAATTTTGCTTCAGTAAACTTAGGCCCAAGTATCGGAGAGCTAAGCTTATAACGTATAAAAGATGCTCACATTCAATTCAAGCCGTTAATTAATTAATGACCATTCACTTTCAATGACCGGAGTTTACTTACAGGAGACACGTAACCTCAATCACAGGCAATGAAACCCAAAAACAAGAACAACAACAAGCAACAACCTGTGAACCGTGAGATGCCGTTGGGCAGAGATAGAAGCTCAAACAATCAATTGGGCATCGTTTCACGTCAAAGAGAACTTCAATAAAAATATCTACGTTTTGAAATTTTTTGTCTGCTGTAAAAGTGCTGTAAGTGGTTCTGAAGGCTGCGCAGCAGTGGAGGAAAGAGGTTACTGAGACTCTGGCCATTGCTATGACGCGACCTTCCGAAGCCATCAGCTATGTTACATTCCACACTTCAATGAATGGAGTCGCGTTCTTTTTATTGTTATTATTTATGTAGGTTGGGTCAAGGGAGAGGAATTTGACATTCAATGGGGCGTACCTCCACGATGAGCATCAATATCAAGTGAGCTTCATGAGCCCACATAGCTGTAAGTTGTTCTTAAGCTTAACTTAAATTATTTGTAATTGCTGAGGATTTCAACTGTTGGGCCTCAGCAGCTTCATTTCTGTAAGCTTCCCACCTTCCCACGGCCCCCTTTTGCTCTCCCTTATCACTCACCTCATTATCTGTGTCTGTTCTCTGTTATCCTGTTAAGGAAATGTTTGTGGCTAACAAAACCATGTTAATGTTCACCACCTCTTTTTTCTTATTTGCAGGTTTGATTTTGTTTTATCATACCCAGGTAACTCAAACAAATTTAATATGAATGTGGAAGAAAACAGATTACGCACATTCCAAAACTGGCCTGCCAATGCTGCTGTGGATCCTCAGCGAATCGCCAAGGCAGGATTTTACTGCACTGGCAATGGGTTAGAAGTTCAGTGTTTTTGTTGCGGTGGGCAGATAGAGGATTGGAACTATGGCGATCAGGTAAAGAATAGTTTAAGCTTTGCTGTAGTTGCATTCCAATCTATAAATTTTTGTGTTATGTGAGAATCAAAGTGTTTACTTCTCCTCACTACAGGTGATGGCCAGGCATCGAAGACTTAGTCCAGCATGTCCTTTTGTCAGCAATCCCTCTTCTTCTGGGAATGTACCACTATGTGGAGCTCCCAGAGAAATTCCAACCAACTCCTTTCCCTCTCCAACATCACAGTCTAGGTCCAGTGGATCCTCTACACGCCACAATGCTGCCCATTTGGGCATGTGGGATCAAACGACAATGTTCCGGAGTGAAGCAACTAGGCTTGAGACTTTTTCAAGCTGGCCTGTACCTGATATTGTTACTCCAGAACAGTTAGCCAAAGCAGGATTTTACTATCAAGGGACTGGAGACAAAGTGAGTACCTCTGATATATGGCTATGTGGTGTTGCTGGTGCTTGAGGTTTGGTGCTTTAATTATTTCCTTTGTTTGAAGGTCAAATGTGCTTTTTGCTCTGGCGTTGTTGGATTTTGGGAAGCAGGAGATGATCCCGAAAAAGAGCATAGACGTCATTTTCCATCTTGTCCATTCTTGTACAATATTCCTGTGGGCAATATACCAATCAATGCAGAAGCAGGTGATCCCTGTTCTCAACTTGGAGTGCGAGATCTCAATACTGACGCCAGTAAGTACAAATTATTCCTGTCAAAATTATTTCTCCTTCATTTAAAATACAAAGAAAATAAAATACTGTCTTCATATTTGCCCTCTGTAGCTGATCCAAAACTGGCCATGAAAGAACTTGGAATTCAGAGCCACCATGGCCCCCGGAACCCATCGTATGCCACTGTAGAATCTCGCTTAAGGACTTTTGAAAATTGGCCCTCAGATGTGACTCAAAAACCTGATGAATTGGCTGCAGCTGGATTTTACTACACTGGTATTTGTAATTTTTTTAAATTGCTAATAGGGTGGAAGATATTTTTGATAAATGTTTCAGCAGTGGTTCAGTGTGTATACTGTACTTACATTTATTTTTGAAACTGACAGGAAATGGAGATCAAGTTAGATGCTTCCATTGTGATGGTGGTCTAAGACTGTGGGATCCATCTGATGACCCCTGGATGGAGCATGCTCGATGGTTCAACACATGTGGCTATGTAACACTTGTGAAAGGAGAGCAGTTTGTAAAGCAAGCAATTGTCCAGCACAGTCCGTCAGCTTTCACTCAAACGGTACTTTTCTTACTGATAGATAATGTTACTTTGCAGCATAAAACAAGTGCCTCACTAAAAGTTTTTCCTAATTTCAGATGTTGGATTCAAGCCTTCCTTCAACACCCCAAAGGAGACCTCAACCTAATAAACATCCAGTTACAGATCGTGACCTCCAAAGATTGATGACCTCTGAGTCTGTGATGGTAAGTGTTAATCATAATTAACTTTCAGAATATTTTCAAAATTATTTCTTGAAAACAACCATTTTTCATTTGCAGGCTGCTTTAGGGACAGGTCTTGATATAACTCGTATTAAAACTGCTCTCCGCCAGAAGCTAGAACAGACAGGCTTACCATTTTCAACAGCAGATGCCTTAATTGAGGCTGCCCTTGATGTCCAAACTGAGGAATTTGCAGATCAAGACTTGAGGTATATTTGCCTACTTCTCTGATTCCATTCTGTGGTAACTTCAGATTCAATCAAGTAACTCTCTTCTGCTTCAGAATGGACTTACCGTCCTCAACTAGGACTTTCCAACGATCAACCCAGTGGCGCCAGAATGTTCAAAATGACGCAGATGGTGAGGATGACCACCAATGGGAAACTGAAACAGAAGAGGAAGGAGATGAGGAAGTGGATTCTGAACCAGAAAGAAACAATGGACTTCAAAGGACTAATCAACAAGTCAACAACCACAATGAGGGAGGTGCAGAAGGAGAAGAAGATTCCACTATTACTCACGATCTCCAAAATTGTTCGTTGCAAGGGTATGGCTATCTTATATTTATTTTTGCTTGAGTTAAAATCAAAAGCATAGACCTTTAATTAAATGAAAATCTTGATTAAACAGGTCTGTGGGTGTTGCTTGTAACGCCATGTCGCAGTCAATGCCCAGCTTAGCTGCATCGATGAATTCCAAGACAGGGGAGAAGAATGGTTCGTGCAGACAGAGTCTTCCACTTCTTCCTTCAATGGAGGAAGATCTTTTATGCCTTGACAAAAAAGGTAAGTGCAAGTGCATTAGCTTGCAAAATTGACTTAAATTTTATATCAATTTCAATTGTTTATCTAATTTTATAAAATTTCAGTGTCTTTGGAAGAAGAAAACAGGCGTTTAAAAGAAGCAAGACAGTGCAAAATTTGCATGGACTCAGAAGCTTGTGTGGTATTTCTTCCATGTGGCCACTTGGTTACTTGTGTTAACTGTGCCCCCTCATTAAGTGATTGTCCTATTTGTCGCCAACCAATCAAAGCAACTGTTCGGACTTTCCTGTCATAATTTTATGGCGGTGATTTAAACTGCTCCAATAATGGTTATCTTCTTAAAAGAAAAAGAGAATGTACAGGGTGTTGATATTTATTTTCTTGACTGTGTCCTTTGTATATTGTAGTTGACCTTGCTTTCTAGTCCCACCTCATGTTCACTTTGTAAAATTTCATTTTAATTGTTTAACGCTTATTATGAGGTAGATGTAATGTAAAGGTAATGCTTTGCTACTTTAGACATCACATTTTTGTAAGTCTGTTAGAGTGAATCTATGGATTAATCACTTCGTTATGTATAGTCTTCCAATTTAAGGGGCTGCTTCATTTTATGAATCCGTACTTCCATGTTCTAGTGGTATATATTTGTTTTATTGTTTATACCTATCAAGGCAGGTTGATTGCTGTTTGTCTTTTCTTCACAGCAGTGGCACTGACAATTGTGATGTAAAGAGAAAAGTTTAGCATATAACTCAAGAGGTTAAATACCAGAAAGTCATTCAAAAGCCTTAACACGTAGGTTTTCTTATGTGATAAAATTTACTCCTGCGTGCATCTGTAGTGATGTACTAGCATTGAAGTAAAGCATGATTATGCTTTTTGACTGTTTTTTATATTTCTGCTTTTAAATATTCTCTTTCTTGCTTCCTCAAGTGCAACTTAAACTTTAACATATCAAAATTATCATTTGACAATACACTTTAGGGTAGGTAGCAGTAGGTAGTGCATCAGATTAGCCAAATCTAACTTCATGTGTGCAATCCATCTCCAAAAAGTCTTTTGAAATTTATACTATAAGTACAATTGGGTTTGAGATAACTGTATAGAAATGAGAATTGCAAATCTGAATCTATTTTATGTAATCTCTGTACAGTAAACTAAGAGAAAACTGGACTGACTTGGATTGTTTGTTTGTTTTTTAGAGTATACAATTGTAGTTAGTGCACCGATGAATAGATAAAGCATAATATATTCATTTAAATTAACTTATTACTAAGTGTAGTTAAATTTTCCCTTTGTTGTTTTATAATTTGAAATGATGTCTTCTTAGTATGATGCTGTGCATGGGCTTTTTTTTTCATTTAGGTTTTAAGAACCTATACTCCTTTTTAATTTATTGTATGAGCGAGTGTGTATGTGTTGTGATGTAAAGATAAGGATAGGAGATGCCTTGTGTGGTGTATTTTATGTGGGCCCTTAGCTTTGTCTTCCTGTGGTTGGGTACAAAATAATTTATTTATGGATGTAGTCAAGTGCTTAGGTTTAAAATCAGCAAGGCACTATTTTCTTTCTTCTTCTTTTTTTAAAATTGTACTACTCATGGAACATTGTGTCATGAGCAGTTGTTACCTATGTGCACCAAGTGTACAGAACTATGTATTCCGCAAGCCGTATTTTACTGCATCATTGAACTTGATTATTTAAGCAATGAAAAAGAGAATAATTGGAAAGTTGACTTAAAAATTGGTAATGTACTTGTTGTTTCAGAGAACTAATCTTTGGAATGAAACTGAGTAAGGAATGCATTTAGAAAGACCCATAGATGCTGTATTTATTTGGCGAAATGACCAAAGAAATATCTTATGCCATTGGAACTGTCCATGTCAGCTTCTTTTTATGTGTGTGTGTGCGTGTGTGTTTGTTTATTTTGTTTTGTGATTTTTTTTTTTCTCAAGGCTGGGAGAAGTGAGTGACATGGCGTTGCATCCTTGGGAACCACTCTAAATGTTATTCGTTATGATTTGTGTAATATGCTGGGACTTTGGTTCAGTGGTTGAGATCTGTAACGTACATTTAATTTATTTTTCAGATACCAAAGTTTTACTTGTAATACATTTTTATGCAGAACTTTACGGTTGCCTCTTTTTTTTCACCATCTGATTTCTATCAAGGGACGTCCAGAACTTGCCAACACCGCGGAGCCGTTTCTAGAAATTCCTGAGCGGGAGCCCTTTGTCCCGGAGGCCGGGGGCCGGTAGGGGCCGGAGCTGGGCGAAGGGCCGAGCGGCGAGGCGAGGGGGTCCCGAAGCAAAGGGCCAGGCGGCCAGGCGCAGGGCACGGCAAAGGCACAGGGCGGCCAAAGGCGGCGACTCCAGGGACTCCAGCATTCCGCCGCCACTGCAACGCGCCGCAGTGCAGCGCAGCAGTGCAGCAGCGGTTCTCAGGGCGGCGTCCGAAAGGCCGAGAGCGGCGCCCGGCTCGGCTCGCCGCTCCGGGTTCGCCGCTCGCGCCAGAGAAGGACAAGCTGTCGACGCCGTCCTCTGGGGCCGCTCTGGACGCAGCCCCGCGTCGAGGTTCCCAGGCTCGGCTCGCCTGGAGCCTCCAGGACCGGCTTGTGCCCGTACCCGGCACCACCGCAACCCACAGGCACGTCGGAGTAGTCCTTCACCCTCTCCCCTCCTCCCCGCTGCCCCGGCTGCCTCTTTCTTCTCCAGGCATTCTCCAGGCATGCTCCAGGTGCCCCTTCCCTTCGTTTCGACGCCTCGCCGCGTCTCTCCACCGTCTCTCCTCTCCGCGGCGCCCCCTGGCCGTGCCCCGACGCCCCCCTCCACAGGCCCCGCATTCCTTTCTTCTCATTCAACCTTTATTCGCTGAATAAAAAGTGTGTAGCTGGCTGGAGTAGAGTGTAGAGGCGGAGCGTAGCCGAGCGGCGTCTCCCGGACCTGGAGGCTGGAGTCCCATCATCAAGGGATCCCATCCCGACAGGTCTAGCCCACGGCCCGGCTGCCCTGGCTGCCCGGCCCACGCTCCAGCTAGCCTCCCATACGCCAAAAGGGCCACCGCATTCCTTTCCAGTGATGCGGCCCTTCAGCCCTTCACTTGTCGAAGGAGGAAAAGCTTCCACGTCTGTGAGGACATGTGAGGCAAGGGATTTGAGGTTGCACCAGTTCCTTTGTGGTTGCTTGTCAGGGAGCTTTTTACCGGGCCGTTTGATTCTAGCAGTGGTTTCGCTGGCCGTGCCGTGGGGCTCGCGGCTCCGGTCTGCCTCGCGAAGCTGGCCGCTACTGCCGCCGCCCGCCACCGCCGGAGAGGCCATCTTGCCCACCTAACGGTCCGCCGCGCCACATCGCATTTCTGCCAAGCTTTGCGAGATAGCCAACCTACCTGGCCGGCCGGGCGCAGCCGGGCGTACCGGCAGCGCAGCGCAGCGCTCAGCCTCACGGGCTGCACCACCACGGTGCACCGGAGGAATGCTGCAGCTGATCTAATTCCTTATGTGGCCGGGCTGTGCCGGGCTCGGGTACCCGGGGCCCTGGGAACGCCGTCCGGCCGGAGGAACGCCGCTACACGGCGTGGACGTCCAAACCCGTGCCACCCGCCAGGTAACGCAAGGAACACGAAACACTCACGAAGCAGTCAACGGATGTCAACACGACGTCAAAATGACGCTTTTTTCGTCGAAATTTTGACTTTAACTAGTCAAATTGACATCAAATGATGTCTCGGTGAGCATTTCGTGTTGTTGGGGAAGGCTGGCCTAAGATGATCCTTTCGCTGTTTCAGGCCCGCCCTCTCATGTTTACGCTGCAAAACGTGATACAGTGCCAAAGGCAGAGGCAGGCTTTACTTGAGCCGCCTCTTATCTGCATGGACACGTCGATAGGACACGTCCGAGGACGCCTTTGTCGTCGCTCGGAGCAGCAATGCCCCTGGGAGGTAGGCAGCTCGCAGTGCCTCGCACCGACCGACCAAGGCCCAGGCCCCGCAACTTCGGACGATCCATCCTGAGTTTCGGTGACTGGAATCAATTTATGAATAGACATTCCTAGCAGAAACCAGAGTGCAATGGAAGAGAAATATCATGAACCGAAAATTGACGCCAAATATCGCAAGTTGTCTTTAACTCTGTGTTCATTTACCGTTCAAAAATGAAAGGAAACCTAATTTTACGATTTTAGACTGTCAAAGCCCCTTAAAAGGTCTACTTCTAGGACTCTGTCCGGTCTTTGTTCTTTTTCATGTTGTTCACTTCAGTCAGGCTCTGGTAGAAGTGTATTCGTAAAAGTTTTCCTCCGTGTTTTATCCAAGACTCGCTAAGGGGGTAACGTATCTCTGCTGAGCGCCCCGGTTCCGTACACGCCCGGGCCCCAGTCCCCATCCCGCCCTGACTCTTTCTCTTGTTCTTTTTCTTTTTCGTGGAACCCGACCCGACTCGGGAAGGGAAGTTATCTTGACTGTGCTGGTTGCTGGCGTTGCTGGTCGTTGTGGCGTGCACCACCGCGGCAACGCGGCGTGCTCCGTCGCGTACCGGTGCAGATAGCGTTCCCACGACCGAAGGCTGAGGCCTCGTGCTCTGGAGAGACAAAGACAGAAGACAAAACCAGCCTCGAGTCGAAAAAGTCGCCTTTTCGAGGCGAGCTTCTGCTTGGCCCTCGCCCTCCGGGCAGCGCCCGTGGAGCGCCGCGTAGGCAAACAGCAGTGCGCCGTGAAGGGACGGCCGCGCACAGTGGGCCAGAAGACCGGCGGAGGCGGCCAAACTCTGGACGCGTTTAGAGCTCCATAGTCCCTAAAGAAGACCGTGTGAAATCACCAATGGATTCCTCTCCGAACGAGGAATCCATTGGTGGGGTCACTCGATCGGTTCGAGTCCGGTTTAGCGACTCTGGAGCTCAAAACGCGCCAAGAGTTTTAGCCGCCGGCGCCGGTCGTCTGGCCCACTGTGCCACCACGTCCCACCTTCGTTCGAACACTGCCGGCCGACGACGCTGACAGAGCAGCTGCGTTCATTACTTCCGGTATTTTTCTTTCAATCCGCGACTTAGCGGTAAAGCGAATAGTTTTTCCGCCGTTTTCCCTCCGGCACGGTCGCGTGTTTCGTGTTTTTACAGCGGTCACGCGCGTCGCTGTCGTGTCGCTGTCGTGTCGCTGGTCAGCTGCAGCTCGGCGCGCGGCCGTGCCTTAGCAGTGCCCCGGCAGGCGTCGCTGCTTCGCTGCTATGCGTCGCGGACTCTAGTCGTGGGGCCGTGTCGTGTTGCCGAGCTGACTGGACTGCGGAGGCTTGTGTCATCGTTCCGCATAGCAAAGCTAGCAGAGCACGCAGCCTTCCCGCAACGGACTGGAAAGGAAAAGAAAAAGATGGACTTTTTATTTGAAACTGGCAAAAAGGGCGGATCAGAGAGAACAAAGAATTCAATGGAGGCTTCAAGCCGATTCTATTTTGAAATTCTCGACGAAGTTTGAACAAAGGTACGTTTTGTTTCATGAACAATGATGAACACCCTTTTATGCTGAGATGGGATCTCGGTTGGGAGAAGTTCGGAGAAGTTGCTCGAAAACTTGACACCTTCTCTCCTAATTGATGATCCTCTCGAATCTAATTTTAGAAAAGCTTCATCCTGCGCCCCTCACACCCCGTCGACACGAGCCCTTGATATCCGTTTGCAACATGTGCTGAAAGTGAACTCACTTCCGGCGATTGCTTTCGCACTTCCTCGTTCGCGCGAAAAGCCTTTAGTCACTTCGAGTTCCTCGAGCCGTTGCAGTCGCTCTGTCTCTCTCGCACTCATGGAGCGTCCCGTAGAGGTGCGAGAGAGACCAGAGACTCTCGGAATCAGTGTACACTTAGGAGAATGCGCTATGACGTCATTGCCTTTATCGATTTACTGGATGAATGAGCCACACATGCGTCAGAGATACTGCGATGTAAACAGGACATGCGTGACTGACCGAAATCGCCGATCGGTCTGCATCTGCGTTCGAGAAGGCCTCACCGCGAAACAGCTGCTGTTTGCACAGGTTGACCGCGTTGACCATGAGGTGGTGCGAAAGGCCTTGGCTAGCTTGGCGAGCCGAGCAGCGGTATATCGAGAAACTAGTCGACTTCTCGCTTCCCCTTTTCGTTCCCACGACCATCAGACGCAGCGCGGCGCCATGATATCTGTACAGTATCAGGGTTCGCCGGACTGCATTCAAATTACCAACTTCGGAAAACTGCATTGGATCTGCCGCAAGTAGTGATTCTGATACGACTACCCTCTCTTGAGTACAGTAAGCTGCAGACTTCCTGTACTCGACGAGCTGCACGCCAGTGTGTCATTGGCCGAAAGCGGCGTGCTTCTTTGTCTGCGGGTCGCTGCGTCCACCTGGGGCTGGACGCTGGACTCCAGTGGACCGGGCTCCAGGCACTCCAGGACGGCTTTCTCTGCCTCTTCGTCAGGTGGCTCCGGTCCGGTCGGGGCCACGGTGGGGCCATGGGGCTCCGGCGGGGACATCGGCCGCACGCGCCAAAGTAAACAAAGTCAACAAACACCTGCCGGCAGCGACTGCACTGACTGCAGCTAGTGGGGGGCGCAGCGCGCAGCTGCCGATCTCGCCGTCCTGCTCTGCTAGTGCAGATGCACTTTGAATCAGTGGCGAGTGCTAATGAGTGCTCCAGATGCTCTCGGATGCACTCGGCTGCACACAGGCGTTCCCCGCGGCGCAGCGCCGCACCGGTCAGGACGACCTGCCAACCTGTCTCGCCGAGCGTCGCACAGGTGGCCCGCTTCGCCTAGCTTCGCCCTCCCCCAGGCCAGGCTCTCTACCCCCAGGCATGCGCGGATACGGGGGGGGGTCCTCCCCTGAAGCCCCTAGATAGCCGCCTGAAAGGTAGGCAAAAAGTGCTCCTTACTTTGCCCCGCCCCCCCTAGACCGTCTCTGGATCCGCCACTGCCCCCAGGGGCAGCCGCGCTGCTCTGCTACGCCACCGGAACGCGGCGAGGCTCGCGCGGCGCCCCAGGGTCGGCCGGTTCTCTTGGACGGCGTCGGCAGCTAGGTCGTCCAGTGTCCTTTCCTGTTCCGCCGCCTGGTTCACGAAGGGCCGAAGGACCGAAGGGTCGGCCGGGTCGTTTGGGGACAGGACGCGACGCGCGCGGTGCCGTGCTGTGCGCCACCTGTCCTGGACAGGGGGGACCGGACACGTGCGCGGCTATGGGGCCGGCAGCCTGGCAGCCCGTGCCGGCTGGCCCTCGTCGCGCACCTGGCCGGACGGACGAACGGACGGCCTGAAGCATCCTTATAATTTGGGCATCGTCCTCGTGGACAACAAAGCCCTGGAGGCCCTGCACGGGCAACGGGAGGCACTCGTAGGACGTGGCGGCAGCCTGCACCCCCAGGAGGGCCTCAGCGTCGAGGGGGAGGGCGCACAGTGGGCCAGAAGACCGGTGGCGGCGGCCAAAACTCTAGACGCGTTTTGAGCTCCAGAGTCGATAAATGGGACTCGAACCGACCGTGTGACCCGGCCAATGGATTGCTCTCAGAACGAGGAATCCATTGGTGGGGTCACACGTTCGGTTCGAGGCCTGTTTAGTGACTCTGGAGCTCAAAACGCGTCTAGAGTTTTGGCCGCCTCCACCGGTCTTCTGGCCCACTGTGGGGCGGCGCAGCTACGCGCAGCTGGCCGCGTTGCCTTTGTCCATCCGCTTTGCCTGTCTTTGCCTGCTTTAGCAGGATTACGATTAGAAATATCGATGAGTCGGCCGTGGTGCGGCGCGTGGCGTGGCCCTGGCTTGGCGATGCCCCTGCCCACATGGACGCTCCGTTGCAGGCCATGTAGGGCGACTCGGTGGACAGCACCGCCATGGCACCGCCACCACGCCCGCCTGGCCGCGCCTTACAGGGTAGGCTGCGCGCGCGATGCTCGCTGCGCGTCGCTGCGCCATGTGGCCGGCGTGGGCTTTGGCCGTCCTGCTGTGCAGGAGACTCCCTGAGCCTCCCCGACCTGTCCGTATTTGTTTTCCATACCGACATGTCGAACATCGACGGCGACCCCATCTTCACGCCGCGGCCGGCACGTCTCGCGCTTCGGCGTGCTTCGCGCTTCGCGACGCGGCGACATCGACGCCGCGACTGCATCGCCAGCAGGCCGATTCCGAGGGTCGTTTTCATCGCGCTGTCTCTCTCGAACGCACGGGGCGTCCCGCACAGGCGCGAGGGAGACAGAGCGACGAAAACGACTCTCGGAGTCAGTCTAGGATGGCGATGCCGTGACGGTGCAGCGGGCGGGCAGTGCTCTCTCGGAACGCGGGGGCTTCGAATTGGCGGTGTCTCGTAGCGGTTCTAGCCCCGCGAACGCTATGGCGGCTCGCGGGGCGGCGCAGCGGCCGCGGCGGCCACGGCGGGCACCACGACGCTGTGCTACTTTGCCGCGGCAACGAGTTGTGAAAGTCGAATCGCGAGTCGGCGCTCTCGCGGGGACCGCCTGCAAAGCCTGCAGCACCGCCACGGGGCTTACTGACGGCCCCTGAGCCGCACCCTCCTCGTTTACCCTGACTCGGAGAATTTCGGCAGAAGTGACTGACTGTACTGCAATGACCGGCCGTGGACAACTATTATCACTGAAGGAAATTGCTCGATTGATACAGTATCTGCGATGCACTCGTGGACTCGGACGCTAGGCTGAGTCTTCAGTCCTTCAGTACAGTCGGGACCAGCTGACTTGGACTGTACGGAGTGCATTTTCGGCATGCGTCGTCGTTGCAGGAGACAACGCATTGTTTACTTGCGGCGCAGTGATCTACATACTGCTGCATACGGCGCGAGGCCGCCGCCATGAGTCGCCGGGGGCACTGGCCTCGACGGGGTGCCGTGAACGTATACCGCGAATAGCAATCACAATGCAAATGCAATGTATGCGGCGCGGTGCATTGACATCGTGCCGATGTAGAAAGCGAGCCAGTTCTTTTGTCTGGGAATATTACTACTACGCAGGAAACGCCGCTCGGCTAATTTCTAAGTCCCATCTAATCTCTCGCACCTTTGCACTGTCTCCGCATTGCCCCGAGTATTATTGAAGTGAAGATAGTGAGGTGGAGGGGATTTCAGCGCATGCGCGATGCGCTGGTACTTCCCTGGCGCCTAGTGGGGGGACGCCGGCCTGGTGGGGGTATGGCCACTACTCCGGCGATACCCCGCG